GTTCTCAATGGTATCCCAAGTCTTTTGCTTATTTCTGTCTTGCTTACATCACATTTCCAAGCACCAATTACCTCTGCGCACTCAACAACAGATAATTCTCTAATTTTAGTCATCTGATTTAAATATATGATTTTTTGCAAAAAACAACGTGAAGATCTAAAAACAATTTTGATGAATGTTTGTATTACTATTATTCTACCAAAAATATATATATATATTTCAAAGCATGGTGCACATTTTTTATTATGCTATCTAGACATGTTAAAACTTGGGAATTAGGTTTTGTTATCAATTGAAAATTTTTTACTTTGACTTTTAAAGCTAATAAAATTATCAATTGTAAACAAAACATTATAAAACTCAAGTATGTTATGGGAATCATTATGAAAATTGATTTTTGCTTAATATACAAAAGTGATTGTGATAATAAAATTTTGAGTTATTTTTATTACACTTTGTTCAATTATTTCCAGTGATCTGCAAAATTGCCAATACTTTTGGCAGGTGAGTGTAGTAATTCATAAAGCAAACTATCAATTGTGAATATACTTGCATACTCCTTACTCTTGAAACAAAATTGCTGTCATCCATGCTTTACCATTTGCTCTATAGTCAACTCCAAGACTATTCATATTGATTTTTCCTATACATTGGGGTTATAATAATAAGTGGTTCTAGTGTATCAGTCCCATCAGCATTACAGCAAAGTACAACAGTCAAACATTGTTTATCTTTTTTTTACCCTCAAGTTGTTTGGTTGCTAAAGTTTTATCAGGTTCAAGTCTATGGTCATTAAATTTCATTAGAATTTATTAATATTTTAAGTATGTATAGTTTAATATTATACTTGCCAAAAGAACAATCCAGTTTCATCCATGTTATATACATCTTCAGATTTAAAGGTGCTGATGACTGTTTTCAGATTGGGAAGGGCATTTTCAATTGCACTAATATCAGCCGAACCACTTTCTCCATGTAATTGATATCTTTTCAAATTGTTTCTACAAGTGTGATAATTTGTTATTGATAAGGTTAATAATCTTAGTTCAATATAATACAGAAACATACCTATTCTTAAGGCTTTGAAGCCACCCAGTGGAAAATGACAATGTATCATCAGGTATATTAAGCATTTTTGCAAGTGTTTTAGCTTTTTCAATTAAGATTAGGTCTGTTAAAGGAATGTGACCTTGTGAATGCAAACACCATTCTTGGAGTGCATGTTCAAGTTCAGGATACTTCACACTATGTGTTTTTTTTGCTGTGGGTTTGCTTCATTGTTTAAATGCTTGGATGAATGTTTTAATGTTCAAGAGATAGTTGCTTGATCAAACTTTGCACCAAGTTCTTGTTCACACCAAGTAGTTAATTTTTTTTGAGTGATTTTTGGAACATTTTGCTTTTTTAAACAAATTTGATGGTGTTGTTCATTGTTTAAAGTATCTTTTTTCTTGTTAATAATGTGATGATGACAATATCTATGTGAATAAATTTAACACTTTATAATTATAAAATTATTCTAAAAATGTGAGTGGTAACTCAAGAATGTCAATATCACAAATGATTGTGACATGTGTTCATTTATAATTTATGCCATGTGACTTTACATTAGATAAACACGTGATAACGAGCATAGTGAACACTGTTGCAGATCACAAAAACAACTATTTCATTGGCCAGATTTTTGTCAATCTTATTTCCAATTATCACATAAAATCTAATTTTGATAGCATAGTGGACATTCGTTTTATCACATGTGACAAAATCGATCATTGATCTTTTTATGTTGTGAAACATGTGACTTCAATTGAATTTAGAATAGAAAAAAGTCACGTGAATATGCACAAAATTTGTTTAACCTGAGATGCATTTTTTTAACATGTATATTTTGCTTTCTATGTTCTTGGTATGTGTGTGAAAAATGATCAAATGATCAAGTTGCTTT